TTTTTTTTGGTTTTTTTTTTTTTTTCATTTCCACTGATGATTTTTCATTGGTTTGCTTCTTATCGTACTTTTAGTAGGATATACCATTAATCACCAGCAAACACCACTTAAAAGGCATTGGCAGCGTTTCTGACTTGGGCAGTGAACATTTTGCTCATTAAAAATTGAGTGCCAAAAAAAAAAACAAGGATAGTTTTTCTGATTCAATGATCCTCTTTGGTTTCAGGTATTGATTTCTTTTCCAGAAGCTCTGTTACCTTATCTCCTTCAGCCCTGGCCAAGGTCTTTGTTGGTATCTAACACTTTGATGCCTGTTCTCTTGGTTTGCTGTTGTTGTTGCAGGCCCACGTGCCCAGGTCTTGCTGCTTTTTTTATTTGCTTATTTGGCATCACAGGTTCTGAGGTATGAGAGTCCAGAAAGTGATTTCTAGAAATCACTTTCATCATGTTCACTCTCAATTTATGAATATTAAAAATTATCATTTGAGTTGTCTGCATTAATGTTCGGCTTAAATATAGTTAAAGGGTTTTTTTTCACTTGCTGGCTGGATTTCTAAATGATCTTTATTAATTTTTTTTTTTTTTATTTTAAAAAAGCTGAAAAAAGTCAATGGTAGACTTTGAGAAATATAAGCTAATTGCTGCTCTGAAACTTTTATTTCTCTGAAGAAGCTACTAACCACCTTTGACTTTTTTGTGTGGCATTTCAGCAAAGCATGTAAGCAATTTTTGCTTTATTGATATTTTGGACGTTTTTAGAAGGAGAAGGGGACTCCAGACCTATCTATAATGGACACTAATGTCTTTTTGTGTTAAATGCTCAACAGCTGCCAGGTAGGAGGGCTAAATGGCTGCTGCCTTTCCAGCAGAGCCATTGCTCAGGGCAAGGGGCCACTCCTGCAGCTGCAGGGGCTGGAGGCAGCTCTGCCTTCTTCCAGCCAGGAGAAGCCTGCCTGGATTTGGGTTTGTGCAGGGTGATGGGGATGGAACAACAGCCTACCTGAATTTGGGGTTGTGCAGGGTGATGGTGACCGGGAAGGAGGAGCCTGCCTGAATTTGGGGTTGTGCAGGGTGATGGGGACTGAGGAAGAGTCTGCCTGTTTTTGGGGTTGTGCAGGGTGATGGGGACTGAGGAGGTTTATCCTGCCTGGATTTGGGGTTGTGCAGGGTGATGGGGACTGTGGAGGTTTATCCTGCCTGGATTTGGGGTTGTGCAGGGTGATGGAGACCGAGAGAATTTGGGTTTGCGCAGGGTGATGGGGACTGAGGAAGAGTCTGCCTGAATTTGGGGTTGTGCAGGATGATGGGGACCGAGAGAATTTGGGTTTGTGCAGGGTGGTGGGGACCCCAGGGTGAGGAGAAGCCTGCCTGAATTTGGGGTTGTGCAGAGTGATGGGGATGGAGGAAGAGTCTGCCTGAATTTGGGTTTGTGTAGGGTGATGGGGACTGAGGAGGAGAATGCCTGAATTTGGGGTTGTTCAGGGTGATGGGGACCCCAGAGTGAGGAGGAGCCTGCCTGAATTTGGGGTTGTTCAGGGTGATGGGGACCCCAGA